ATGCAGTAGTCTGCATAACAGTAAATCTTCTATTTTTTGTGAGAATAAAAATTCTAAGTGGAAAGCAAAAGAATGTAAGAGGGGCGTGGGGACGTGTCTAATGAACAGAGGAAATGTTATTTTAGTGCCAGGAATGTCTTTCTTGTTTATTCTCGACCCTATTTGGAAATTGGCACCTTTTGAAATTTGTGTGAAATTGGCAAAATTGCTAAATTCTGACCACTTTATTGGATAGTTTCTTGTACTCATTCGATAGAAAAAATGGAGTTCTAGTGATGTAGTTATGATTTTCATCGACTATTACACTGGAATAGGGCTCAAAGTGGGCAAAATTGCTGATGCATAAGCATCGTCGAGACTGCTAACTTCGCAAGAGCATAATTCTGTAAGTTTTTCATCAAATTTCATACTTTTGGTGTCATTATGATTGGGAAAAGATTCTCTATCCTTTCATAAGAAAAATAATTTTTTTTTTTTTTTTTTAAATTTGTCAACCCTGACAACAGGTCTGGGAGAGGGCCTGTTGACCCTGAAAGGGTTAATATATGAAATGTTGAGTGAATGCGTGGGGAGTTTTGAATCAAGTGTGAGAGTAATGGTGGTTGGGGATTTCAATGCTAAAGTGGGTAAAAATGTTATGGAGGGAGTAGTAGGTAAATTTGGGGTGCCAGGGGTAAATGTAAATGGGGAGCCTTTAATTGAGCTATGTGTAGAAAGAAATTTGGTAATAAGTAATACATATTTTATGAAAAAGAGGATAAATAAATATACAAGGTATGATGTAGCACGTAACGAAAATAGTTTGTTAGATTATGTATTGGTGGATAAAAGGTTGATGGGTAGGCTCCAGGATGTACATGTTTATAGAGGGGCAACTGATATATCGGATCATTATTTAGTTGTAGCTACAGTTAGAGTAAGAGGTAGATGGGAAAAGAGGAAGGTGGAAACAACAAGTAAGAGGGAGGTGAAAGTGTATAAACTAAGGGAGGAGGAAGTTCGGGCGAGATATAAGCGATTATTGGCTATTGGCAGAAAGGTGGGCTAGTGCAAAGATGAGTAGTGGGGGGGGGGGTTGAAGAGGGTTGGAATAGTTTTAAAAATGCAGTATTAGAATGTGGGGCAGAAGTTTGTGGTTATAGGAGGGTGGGGGCAGGTGGAAAGAGGAGTGATTGGTGGAATGATGAAGTAAAGGGTGTGATAAAAGAGAAAAAGGTAGCTTATGAGAGGTTTTACAAAGCAGAAGTGTTATAAGAAGAGCAGAGTATATGGAGAGTAAAAGAAAGGTGAAGAGAGTGGTGAGAGAGTGCAAAAGGAGAGCAGATGAAAGAGTGGGAGAGGCACTGTCAAGAAATTTTAATGAAAATAAGAAAAAATTTTGGAGTGAGTTAAACAAGTTAAGAAAGCCTGGGGGAAAGTATGGATTTGTCAGTTAAAAACACAGTAGGGGAGTTAGGAGATGGGGAGAGGGAGGTATTAGGTAGATGGCGAAAATATTTTGAGGAACTTTTAAATGTTGAGGAAGAAAGGGAGGCGGTAATTTCATGCACTGGCCAGGGAGGTATACCATCTTTTAGGAGTGAAGAAGAGCAGAACGTAAGTGTGGTGGAGGTACGTGAGGCATTACGTAGAATGAAAGGGGGGTTTTAAAGCAGCTGGAACTGATGGGTTTCATGACAGAAATGTTAAAAGCAGGGGCAGATATAGTGTTGGAGTGGTTGGTACTTTTGTTTAATAAATATATGAAAGAGGGGAAGGTACCTAGGGATTGGCGGAGAGCATGTATAGTCCCTTTATATAAAGGGAAAGGGGACAAAAGAGATTGTAAAAATTATAGAGGAATAAGTTACTGAGTATACCAGGAAAAGTATACGGTAGGGTTATAATTGAAAGAATTAGAGGTAAGACAGAATGTAGGATTGCAGATGAGCAGGAGGCTTCAGAGTGGGTAGGGATGTGTAGATCAAGTGTTTACATTGAAGCATATATGTGAACAGTATTTAGATAAAGGTAGGGAAGTTTTTATTGCATTTATGTATTTAGAAAAGGCATATGATAGAGTGGATAGAGGAGCAATGTGGCAAATGTTGCAAGTATATGGAATAGGTGGTAAGTTACTAAATGCTGTAAAGAGCTTTTATGAGGATAGTGAGGCTCAGGTTAGGGTGTGTAGAAGAGAGGGAGAATACTTCCCGGTAAAAGTAGGTCTTAGACAGGGATGTGTAATGTCACCATGGTTGTTTAATATATTTATAGATGGGGTTGTAAAAGAAGTAAATGCTAGGGTGTTCGGGAGGAGAGGGGTGGGATTAAATTATGGGGAATCAAATTCAAAATGGGAATTGACACAGTTACTTTTTGTGATGATACTGTGCTTATGGGAGATTCTAAAGGAAAATTGCAAAGGTTAGTAGATGAGTTTGAGAATGTGTGTAAAGGTAGAAAGTTGAAAGTGAACATAGAAAAGAGTAAGGTGATGAGGGTATCAAATGATTTAGATAAAGAAAAATTGGATATCAAATTGGGGAGGAGTAGTATGGAAGAAGTGAATGTTTTTTAGATACTTGGGAGTTGACGTGTCGGCGGATGGATTTATGAAGGATGAGGTTAATCATAGAATTGATGAGGGAAAAAAAGGTGAGTGGTGCGTTGAGGTATATGTGGAGTCAAAGAACGTTATCTATGGAGGCAAAGAAGGGAATGCATGAAAGTATAGTAGTACCAACACTCTTATATGGATGTGAAGCTTGGGTGGTAAATGCAGCAGCGAGGAGACGGTTGGAGGCAGTGGAGATGTCCTGTCTAAGGGCAATGTGTGGTGTAAATATTATGCAGAAAATTCGGAGTGTGGAAATTAGGAGAAGGTGTGGAGTTAATAAAAGCATTAGTCAGAGGGCAGAAGAGGGGTTGTTGAGGTGGTTTGGTCATTTAGAGAGAATGGATCAAAGTAGAATGACATGGAAAGCATATAAATCTATAGAGGAAGGAAGGAGGGGTAGGGGTCGTCCTTGAAAGGGTTGGAAAGAGGGGGTAAAGGAGGTTTTTGTGGGCGAGGGGCTTGGACTTCCAGCAAGCGTGCATGAGCGTGTTAGATAGGAGTGAATGGAGACGAATGATACTTGGGACCTGACGATCTGTTGGAGTGTGAGCAGGGTAATATTTAGTGAAGGGATTCAGGGAAACCGGTTATTTTCATATAGTCGGACTTGAGTCCTGGAAATGGGAAGTACAATGCCTGCACTTTAAAGGAGGGGTTTGGGATATTGGCAGTTTGGAGGGGTATGTTGTGTATCTTTATACGTATATGCTTTCTAAACTGTTGTATTCTGAGCACCTCTGCAAAAGCAGTGATAATGTGTGAGTGTGGTGAAAGTGTTGAATGATGATGAAAGTATTTTCTTTTTGGGGATTTTCTTTCTTTTTTTGGGTCACCCTGCCTCGGTGGGAGACGGCCAACTTGTTGAAAAAAATAAAAAAATAAAGATGTAATCAAACTTTTTATATACATTTGAAAGTGAAAACAGACCATGTTTCACTTTCCACAATTTTTGTTGTGCAGTGGTAACCTGGAACCTAACTTGCTGTATAAGCCTGGCCCTCCTGTATGTATATAAGGAGAGGTGTTACCAAAAGTATAATTCAGAAGGCTTAGGAGGTGTTGTTGAGGTGATTTAGGCATTTAGAGATGATGGAGCAGAATAAGATGGCCATGAGGGTCTATAAATCTTGTATGGAAGGAAGGAGAGATATGGGTCATCCCAGGAAGGGTTAGAGAGGAGTAAAGGAGGTTTAAATTGCTAGGGGCTTGTGTGAATTTGTTAGATCGGAGTGAATAGAGACATGTGGGTTTTATGACATGCCATGTTGTTTGAGTACGAGCAAGTTAACATTCATGAAGAGTTTCAGGGAAATCAGTTAGCCAGATTTAAGACCTAGAGGTAGGAAGAACTGTGCCTGCACTCTGAAGGAGTAATGGGAATGATGCACTTTTGTGGGTCAGTTGAATTGTGATGTCTGTATCCAGAAACTTCTGAATACACAGGTATTTTGGAGTTTCTGAAGAGGTTGGCAAAGGAGTCTTTTTGGGTGCTTGAAAGAAAAGTGAACTTAGAAAAGAACAAAGTAACGAGAATAACAAAAAATTTAGACAGTGAGAGAGCAGAAATCAGATTGAAGGAAGTGGGAGTGGACTTGTTGGTTGATGGGTCTGCTTAAGACGAGGCACCTTAGAATAGATGAACGGAGAAAGGCAGATGGAGTGTTGAGGTGTCTATGAAAAGAAAGTTTATAGAGGTAAAAAGGGAATTGTATGAGTATGTTGCAACATACTGATTCCATGGGGAAGTGGAACAGAGTTCTTCCTCCGTCAGCCATACGTGTTGTAAGAGGTAACTAAATGCTTGGGAGCAAGGGCCTAGCAACCCCTACTGTATAAATTAATAATTTTAAAAAGAAAACTTTCGTTTTTTTGCTTTGATGGGATACAGCCAGTTTGTTAAAAAAAAAAAAATATTGGTACTGACACTCACACAAGTGTGAGGCATGAGCTTTAAATGTTGCAGTAGGATGAGGCTGAAGGCACTGGAGATGTCATGTTTAAGATCAGTGTTGTGTGAATATTATGCAGAGAATTTGGAGTATAGAAGTTTTAAAAAACAGTGTGAATTACAATTCAAAGGCTGGAGGAAGGGGTCTTGAATTGATTTAGGCATTCAGAGAAAGTGATACAGAATAAGATGATCAAGGGGTTGTACAAATGCAGGGTTGATGGAAGGAAGGGGTAGGGGCCATCCCTGGAAGACTCTTGAGAGATGGACTAAAAGAGGTTTTAAATGGGTGTTGAGTGTATCCATCAGGCATGTTTGACGAAAATTAAACATAAGCAAGTTTTTAACGATTTGATGTACTGTTCAAATGTTTTCAGTTTAAAACTTTATCACACATCATAGACATTATTGAATAAGTTTTTGTAATGCTTTATATATTTGCTCGTGTAACAGAGGCATCCATCACATACCAAAAGAAGACTGCAGGTGAAAAAGATCAGCCATCTATATCAGGGGAAGCAAAGGCAGCCAATGATGAGATTGTCATTGTTCTCATGGCACTATCTTCTATAACAAGTAAGGTTAGTTAACATTTAATTTGTATTGTTAATGTTATACTGGTTATGATGCAAGCAAATCCACAAGGAGAAAATGAAACAGAAGGTATGATGAGTTCTGTATTATTTTTTCCTACACCCAAGGCAATTTTCTGTTGCTTTAGAGAGAAACTGGAAAGGTAAGGAGAGTGCTGAAATTTTGGCATTCAGTGGAAATAAGCCACTTTGTTTTTTTTTGTGATTATCCTAAGTAATTTACACTATGATAATTGTATTTATGTGTACCTGTGCCTAAATAAACTTAGTTACTTATAACCGAGGTCCTCATTAGTAGCTTAAGAATGTTAGTTGTAGGTCAGTACGTACAGGACTCCTGTTAACTTGTGTATCGTTTTCTTAATGTGATCTCGTGTGTACCACTGACCATTGTTTATTACACTTGTATTTCTGTACTAGGATATTTTTATTTTCACTTTACACCTCTGGAATTAAATTAGCTTACTAAATTTATAATATATTCTGACTGACACAAAATTGTTTAGTGCTTTCCATTAGCAAAATAAATAAGAACCAAATTAATGGTCAATGGTCCAAGTCGGACCGAAACGTCGTCGTAAGCTTCTCTCTTTTATGTGCGGGTTATTTGTGTATCGTTCCAGTCACGGTATTGTGCCTTTTTGTTATTTCAGAAAATCCTCAACGCCAATATTTGGAATATGTTTAAAATATATAAAGTCATCTGTCTTATAAGTTCTTAGATTACGTTTATATAACTGAATGTGAAATTTGTAGTTCATAACATTTGTATATTGTAGAAAAATTATTACTTGAATTTGCTCATTACATTGTAAAGTGGCTTCCTTTTTCTTAAGTGCAGTAATCTTCATGGGAAGTAAAAGAAAAATTAATTTTAATCATGATGCGAGGGGTGGTCACAATAAAAGATAAATGCAGTGCTGTTGTAGTTTCTCTGCACAATGCTAGAATCTTGTTTTTGTCTTACTGTGTAGGAGTGTATTAGCAATTTTTACCTTTTGATGTTAAATATTATTAACATTTCAGCATAGTGTATGTGTTTAACTGTTGTGTGTGTGTGTGTACGCTTGTAGACATTTTCTGCATTTATAATGTGTCTTTAACTGTTGTGTTTATTCTTGTAGATGCTGTCTGCATTTATGTCTTCAACTGGTGTGTGTGTTTGTAGCTGCCGTTTACATTTTTAATGTGTCTTCAACTGCTGAGTGTATTATTACAGATGTCGACTACATTCCGAGAGCAAGTTGCTCCTTCATGGGTTCGAGGTGGATCAACCCCAAGCACTCCTTCTTCACCATACCCCAGTATGCCTTACAGCTTAAATAAATCTCTCAGTAACTATGCATCCATTCCACAAGTAAGTTGTCATATCAGCAAAATTCTGAAGTGCTGCTAGATTATTATAATATTTATGGGGAAACTAAATCTATGGAAGTCATGCATTGCCTGATGAATGGAAGGTGATTAAGTTTGATCCAAAGGAGAAAGTGTAATTCCAGTTGGTTGGATCAAGAGCTTGGGGAAATGGAATAAAATACCATCATGATGGAAACAGATGCACAAATGCAGTGTAATAATATTTTTTTAGGCAATGTTTTCCCCACTTTGGCTTTTTCAGTTGAGGACTTAAGAAAAGCCCAGTGTTTGGGTGAAATATCAAAAAGGATCTCATTACACTGCTTTTGTGTGTCTGTATTTGGAGTATTTTGCTATTAAAATTATGTCATAAACATGTTTGGTATATAAGAGGTTGACATATGAAAGGTGGTTTAGAAAGACACACAAGCAAACACTAGGACATATTTATTAGAAAACGTTACGATCCCGGAACCTTGATCAGAAGTGATCAAGGTCCCAGGACCGAAATGTTTTCTAATACAGTAAATATGTACCATTGCTTCCTTACGTGTCTTTCTAAGCCAATTTGTCAGTATCTATTACCAAGGTTTATACCACATATGAAAGGTGTTTACAGTGATAAGATACAAAGTAGGTGGAGTATAAGATGGAGAGAAAAATGATAAAGTGTAAAAGAAGAGCAAATGAAAGAATGGGTAAGGCATTATAAGTAAGTTTTGCTGAGAATCAGTGTTTTGAAAGGAGGTAAACAAGATGAAACTTTAGGATCAAATAAGCTTAGCGTGGTAAGAATGAGATGCTGATGCAAAGCGTTAAGTGTTTGATAAGGAAGCAGAGGCAATATAGAGATGAGATATTAGATAAGGTGATAGACACATTAGATAATGACTTGTAGGTAAGGTAAGGTTATAGGGTATGAGGAGAGAAAGAGATCATTTAAGTAGTCAAAGGTTTTGGATATGGAGTTTTTTTTTTTAACAAGTCGGCCGTCTCCCACTGAGGCAGGGTGACCCAAAACGAAAGAAAATCCCCAAAAAGAAAATACTTTCATCATCATTTAACTCTTTTACCTCACACATAATCACTGTTTTTGCAGAGGTGCTCAGAACACAACAGCTTGGAAGCATATACGTATAAAGATACACAACATATCCCTCCAAACTGTCAATATCCCAAACCCCTCCTTTAGAGTGCAGGTATTGTACTTCCCATTTCCAGGACTCAAGTCCAGCTATATAAAAATAACCAGTTTCCTGAATCCCTTCACTAAATATGAGCCATTTGAAGAACAGTCTCTCGACATGGTTTAGGAACAACAAGGATGGAATAATCTATCACTGAAGAATGAGATTTAAATACAGATTTATATAAGATACCATTAATATATTCAAACTTATGAGATACGTATCTCCCGTGGATAACTTTGTTGTTAAAAGCTTGATTATGACAATCCCGAAGTGAAGGGCAATTGCGCTGTATATTGACAAAGTCATCCTTGGACATAAAATCCGGGAAAATAAAAGGACTTACGGTGGGAGAAGAGGTAGGAGAAGCCGGGGTTATGGTCTGAGCCCTAGTCAAGACATTGAGAGTGCCGGAGGCAATACCCTTACTTTCACCCGACGAGTGGACAGGTGATCCTGCTACCTCACTATTGAGAGCAGTATCATCTGTTTCCACCCCCAAATGAACAGTACGAGACAATGCAGCTTCTGGTGCGGAATTGTTAAGGGGATTATTTAACTTGCAAGGAAGAAGAGCTGGAAAACTTAGATCCACGGGTGGTGACGAAAGATCCACCTCTGAAGGAAGAACGGCACCTTTAACCCCTTGACTGTCGCAACCCGTAATCCTGAGGTGTCTCCTGGTGTCGTAAAATTTAAAAAAAAAAAAAAAATAATTTTTTCTTATGAAATGATAGAGAATCTTTTCCCAATTGTAATGACACCAAAAAAAACGAAATTTGATGGAAAACTGACGGAATTATGCTCTCGCAAAGTTAGCGACCTTGGCGATATTTACAAATCGGCGATTTCGCCCACTTTGAGCCCTATTTTCGGCTAATTCCTTTGTTCCAGTCGACTAAACTCATAGCTATTTCCTTAGAACTCCATTTTTTCTATCGATTGAGTACGTACAAGAAACTGCCCATTTACCAATTTCAACTACCCAATAATGTGGTCAGAAATTTGCAATTTGGCCAATTTCACGAAAATTAAAAAATACGACAATTTCAAAATAAGGTCCAGAATGAACAATGCAGACATTCCTGGCTCTAAAATAACATTTTCTTTGTTTATCAGTCATGTCTCCAGGCCCCTCTGATATTACTCTTGCTTTCTATTTTGAATTTTTATTCAAACAAAAAATAGAAGACTTACTATTATGCAGACTACTGCAATACTGTAATACTTGTATAAATAACATCAACGCATTCATGACTGCATATTAGAATGGCTAGTTGGACATTTATTGGACAATGACATCATTTGTTTACTTTTGAACATTGGCAAAAATCAAACATTTCCCCTACTTTGAGCTCCATTTCCAGGTTCTTTTTATAGTAAAATCAATCAAAATCACCTCTATTTATATAATATGTTTTCCATTCTATCAAATGAGACCAAGAAAACGAGAATACAACCATAAATACTATACGAAAATAGACCACAAAGTCGGCATTTTAATTAAAAACAACGGTCGGAGTTTTTTTTTCCTTATTATGCACTGCGTGCTCCAGGATTTTTTTTATATGGTGCACACTGACCACACAGACCCATTCTCTCACATGTGGGCCTACCAGCTTTCTCCTGCTTGATTTGAAGCCGCTAGAATTTATGAGTATATATACGTCAAACACGGTACCTCGTAAGATGTATATATACGGCGGCGACAATCAAAGGGTTAATGTTACCCACTATTATAGAACAAGTAATTGGGGCTAGTACCGCATTAGTCCAACCGGTTAACCATTTAGTTTTCAAGTAACAACGTATTGTAGAGAAAGTATTTTCACAACCCAAGTAATCTGAAAGAATAGAGGACACATGATAGGTTTTAAAGTAAGGGAACAGTTTGTCCGAAATTACGATGCACGTACATCCAGTGTCACGTAATATTTTTTTTTTCAACAAGTCGGTCGTCTCCCACCGAGGCAGGGTGACCCAAAAAAGAAAGAAAATCCCCAAAAAGAAAATACTTTCATCATCATTCAACACTTTCACCACACTCACACATTATCACTGCTTTTGCAGAGGTGCTCAGAATACAACAGCTTAGAAGCATATACGTATAAAGATACACAACATATCCCTCCAAACTGCCAATATCCCAAACCCCTCCTTTAAAGTGCAGGCATTGTACTTCCCATTTCCAGGACTCAAGTCCGACTATATGAAAATAACCGGTTTCCCTGAATCCCTTCACTAAATATTACCCTGCTCACACTCCAACAGATCGTCAGGTCCCAAGTATCATTCGTCTCCATTCACTCCTATCTAACACGCTCATGCACGCTTGCTGGAAGTCCAAGCCCCTCGCCCACAAAACCTTTTATACCATTAACTGCTCCTGAACAGAAGGGTGCTTGGTCATTACCATCAACAAAACATCTTCCAACTTTCTCTATTTTCTTGGAAGGACAATCTGGACGTTTATGTCCGATACCACCACACCAATGACATGTTGGTATAATAGCTGGTGACTTTGCTTCTACTGTAGGCTTCTTAATCTTTGGCTCAGGTGAACCATTTCCCTTAGGTTCGATCCCTTTAGGTCTTTATAGGAATTGTGAGCCTCAGCATACAGGTCAGCGGCCTCAGCAACTTCATCAGCTTTAATCAGGTTACGCTCTCTAATGGATGTTCTTATCTGGTGGGGAAGAGCTGTCAGAAACTGGTCAGCAACCATGAAGTCTCTAAGAGATTCATAACTGTGATCAATTCCTGAACACTCTATCCAAAAGTCGAACAAACGAAAGAGTGTTACCTGTAACTGCTGAAAGTTTTGGCCATGCTGTAAGGTGGCATACCTGAAATCTTTCCTATAAGAATTTGTGGTTTTCTGATATGCTTTAAGGATTGCCTTCTTCAGTAGGTTATAATTACATATGATATCCTGCTACAAAGTTGCATAGATATTCAAAGCTGTACCAGAAAATAACATTCCTAACCTGGTAGCCCAGGTGTCAGCAGGCCATTCACAGAGGGTAGTGGTATTTTCAAACCTGATAATGTATGAAGTAATATCTTCACCCTCTGTGAAGGGAGGTAAATTAGGTGTTGGAATTTGTGCACTAGCTGCATGATGTTCAATTACTCCTTCCTCTAATTGTTGTTGTGTAAGAGTTAACTTTTTATTCTCTAATTCAAGGCGAGCTTTTTCGAGCTCGCGATCTTTTTCCCTCTCTTAACTCATGTTCTCTAGCTATTTCCTCACATTCTCTATCCTTTGCTCTTTCCTCAAGTTCTCTTAATTTAACTTGTTCCTCACGATCAAGTCTATCACGCTCCTTTTTGTCTTCTCTCTCTCTCTCTGTCTTTCTTGGCTTTCTCTTTGAAGGTTCTCTCTCCTTTTTCTCTTCTCTTTCGATTCTCTCTCCTTTTCTTCTTCTCTTTCGATTTTCTCTCTCTCCTTTTCCTCTTGTCTTTCCCTTTCTGCCTCTCTTCTCTCTTTCACTTCTTTCCTGGATCTTAGCACTAATGAAAGATTCTAAATTTTTCCCTGTTATTCCTAACTTCCAGCATTCATCCAAAACTGGTATTCCTCCATACTTGCAAGAATAACTTAAACTTTCAGGGGAAATGAAACGGGTATTAAAGAAAACGGAGGGTTCAATTCCTGCTCCGCTCAAACTGCAAATAAACCAGAAGGCTTGATCCCTGCTTCAATTAAACAATATGTATTAATGAAAACGAAGGGTTCTATGCCGGCTCCGAGCAAACAGTAAGTAGAATGGGGTCCCTTCACCATCCAATCTTCTCACCAACAAATCAAGAG